GTGTTGACCACCGTTCTTGAAGACCCCTAATACAGGTTCTCCCCCCTCGGGCTGCTTGTGTGCCCATGCATTGTAAGTAAAGCTGAACAGCAGATCTTCTCAGAGATTATTAGAATACTGGTCTTCTTGCCCGAACTCCGAGGCTCCCAGATTCCTGTGTGTCATCCTTCCAGCTGAGAGTGGATTTTGAAAGACTAGCCAGGTACAAGCTAACGAGGGCCCAGTGCGGGTAAATGGAAAGTAAGCCTTTACAGATTCCAGCGCAGGGCAGGGCTCTGCTGCCTGCCCTGATCTGAGGTCAGATACCGCATTATGTGCACAGATGCACTGTCGAGATGAGGATCGGGAGATGAATCTGGGAGATGAATCATTTCATGCCTCAGGGTCATTGCAGGCCCCGGATTCATAGTCAGAGCATTTTAACGTGGGAGAAGAGCTCCAGTCGAAACCCCTAACAAGGTCCTTCAACCAAAAAAACCTTACTAAATGCTATTTGTGCCACTGCAGCCATTGTGTATGCAAGCTTCTGTTATTATACACAAATACACGATGATGGGACCCTTGAAAACAGCCAGTCTCCCTTAGTGCCCATCTGCTTCTGTGAAAGCCAAGGAAGCTGCTGTACAGTTAGTGTCCCCAGATCACCCCCCCTGTGGTTTCCCCTGATTTGAATCTTAAGTTCCCCATCGGCCCAGATCTCTCCAGCCCGAGTGAAGCTGGTGGAGCCGGCGCCGCCCACAGATCTCCGGTCTGCGGCCGTAGAATAACACTCCCACTCCTGCGGAAGAGTCGTAATGACAGTCAGCTGCCGTCTGCTTTCCGGGGGAAATCGGCTGCGGTCCATGAGTCCTATTTCAGGACCCTGGGTGCATTTCGAGGTCTAGTCCCCGAATCTGCACCTTGAGAACAAAGTTTCACCCTTGCATGGGTCTTGAAACTGGGCATCTTCATTTATCATCAAGTTTCATTTCGCAGAGCAGGGCCGGAGTAACCGAAGGCGGTAAAGGAGTACCAACCCAAGCAGGAGCGAGAACCTCCAACCTCCCGAACTCCGCCGCTTCCCTGAAGTCTTGTGGTCTCACTCAGATACCCAAAGAAGAGGAAAAATCAGCCTGGAAGACGGCATTGGGTCGGCTGAGTGGACTGCTAGACAACTAATACAAATATCCTGTCAGCCGGCAGCCCAGAATGGAAAAGAGCTCTCCTTCCTGGTACTGTAGCCTGCTATTATGGTATATATTTAGGAACAGCCAAAGCACAGCACGGCACTCATTACGTAATTAGACGGCTACATGTGGGAGCTGACAGGGGGACACTAAACACGGCCAAATTCTGCAGCAGAACTGAGCCTTTCAATCAAAGGCTATGGTCTCCTACAGAAGAAACACAACCTTTGTCTTTATCTCCCTTCAGTCTCCATGCTCGGTGATTAAATTAAGAATGCAGGACACTGAGGAAGCATTCGATGAGGTACATGATCTGAGGCATTAAAAAGTTATTGAATTCATTAACAGTGATTTGTCTGACCAACAAGTCAAACGATGATTATTAATTCATTGATGTAGGTTGTGCGTCAGTTTATTTCTCGTTTTTCCTTTATCACCTCAGGGCGGATGCTCTTTTGTAAAACCCGAGAAGTCAGTTTGCATTCTTTGTGAATTTTGGCACGGCAGAAAGAGTGATCAATGGGATTGGCTCACTTCCGTCTTGAATGTCACCGTGGCGACGGAAAGTGCTGAGACTAAGCCGAACGTGAAAAGCACATTATCGACTCCCGTCTGGTTAGGAAGGGCGGGGCCTAAATTTAGGTAGCTAGACGAAGAAATGAATGTAAAAGCAGTAGACCCATCAACAGATATCGGCCCACGCCAGTCATTTAAATATCTAATTATTAACCTTGGAGTAAACCTGTGAATTTCAACAACATAATCAGACTGCTCCCTTTCAGCTGAACTAAAGCTGCTTTGAAAGGCAAACCTGGTGAGGGTTACCCTCATAAAGTGGCCAGAAAGGCCAGCATTTTTTGTCTCATCACTATTCACTATTCTTCTTTCAAGTAACTAATGTGACTAACGCCAGACTAAGGCTATGTGATTGAACTTAACCATTGTACTTCACAACGGTGGAAGATTTATGTTGTTTACTTAATACTATCCCATATTTACCCATAATACTATGCATGACCTCTTTCAGAAGCCTGGGAAACATTAACCTTAATTACTCTCACTTGTGTTCTTTGGTCCCTTTACTTCATCTCTCTTTTTATTGCATTTGCTGTTCCCCTCAAGTGGATGTGTGACCATAATAAACAATCAACCAACAAAGTTACAACGTCACATACTGTATGTGGCCTTTGTCTAAGCAGCAGACCAATGAAAAGGGAGGAAGCGGACTGCTGAATCGGGATTGGTCCAGGAGACAGCTCATGTGACACACTGCATCATTCCACATAAAAGTGCCATTTTGAGCTCTTCTAGCTTGGCACACAGTCCAGTTCTGCTAAGCAGCTGATTTCTCTCCACAGTATACAGGGAGATTCAGGTTACAAGAAGGCTACCTCGTTAGCACTCCTGTGGCCTCAGTCAAATGATCAGGCCCCCATGGTGAATAATGTGAGAATGAATAAATAATGACTTCCAGACAGCAGAAAACCTACACCAGCAAAGTTGCCCAAGACCACCTCCTCCGAGCTCCACATAACAGGTACAAGGCTGCTTATTTACAGACGTGTTCCAACAAATGTACCTGGTCTTTCCAGGCCCCACAAAGGCAGAAAAAACCCTGTAAATGACATTCACAAAAACACACAGTCATTTGTTCAGAAGGGATGAGAGTGCCATATCTCTCAGATCATTCTATACAGACTATGAAAACAGATGTAATTATACAAAAATCACAACATTATTTTTACCGTATCATAAATCCAGAATAACACACTCAGTGGTACTAGAAAATAAATAATTTTACCATCAAACGAGCAGCCTCAGAATACCAGTCTGAACACCACGTGATGCTTCAAATGAACAATTTGATAAGTCCCTAAGTCACATCCAGTGAATCCCTAAAGGGAGAGGTGAGAAGGTTCAGATAGTGGAGTTATAACAAGCGGACTCACCAGCCTTCCAAGATAGGAGTCAAAGCATCTGAAGGGCCTCCTGGAATAAGAGATACCTGATCCCTGATAGGACCGTCTCCAGTTATGGCAGGTCCCGAAAGCTGTTTGCCAGTACAGGAGTACTGTTTAGTGTGAGATTCGGTGGTTTAGGATGCAGTGTTTGTGATTGGAAGCTCATGGGTTCAAATCGCAGGGTTGCCAGAGTGATGTCACCATGGTGACTTAAACCTAGGCCCTTAACCCCCAACTGTTCCACGGACAGTCTGTCCCTGCTTTCTCAACTGTACATTGCAGTGGATAAAAGCACCTGTTAAATAAGTAAAAAGTAAATCAAGCTAACATGTTCACTGGGGCAGTGTGTATCTGTGCAGGTCAGAGATCAGTACTCGCACCTAGAAGGGTGTGAGTTCAAATCCCATAGCCAGCAGAGAGATCATATCACTGCTGGGCCCTTCAGCATGGTCATTAACCCCAAATGTTCTGGGGACCCTGCTCTCTGATCCTCACTTTCACTAAATAAATGCAATTGAATCACTAATAAAAGCTCCAAAATCATCTCTTCTAGGCCTGGTCTGCCATGCATATATATATATATATATATATATATATATATACACACACAGAAACTAAACAAAATAAGGTTATGTACTAATAATTAAATTATTAATATACTTTAAGTGGCTTAGATGAAGAAAATGCCTTATAAGTGACTTTTTATTAATTTCACTAAATTCATTCATTTATTCATTTACTTGAGTTGAATTCATTTAATTCAACTGACTTTAGCTAAGTGCACTTGTCATGTAATCAAATGGAACCAAGAATAAGGCCACCCAACAACTGACACCTGTTAGCTTACATATGTTTGACAATTCGCAAACTGTCCTATATAGTAAAAAGACAAGATCGTGGACAAATTTTTGAAATGGGAAATTGCAGAAAACATACTTGGTCCTGAACCTGAAGTTTCACAATTTAGGTAAGATCCAATTATTTGTATGTGTTAATTAATGGTGTGGCCTGGAAAAACTGACGTGGTAGAAAAAAGGTTGGGAAACACTCTGGATCGCAGGGACACCACAACTCTAAATATTCCCACCTTTCTCTTGATTTTTTTTTTGTCACCCACACAGTCTGTCCCAGAAAATATTCATGAGCACTGTTCCCCATGGCTGGGCTGTAGGCTCTGCAGCTGTAAACAACAAAGGAATTCTCAATTTGTCAAGCCATTACCCCTAAACGCCAAACCACCATCAGGCTGACGAAGGCTTCCACCAGTTCACCTTCACCCCCCCCCCCCCCCCCCCCAGGCGGCATCCTACTCGTATCCCAAAACAATGTGTCGATTTACACAGGACAATTCACACAACATAGTAAGGGGAAGGTGCAAGAGACAATCAGCCAACACCAATAAACGTGTGTGGCCCTGCTACTCTTTGCACTTGGAAACTAATTGCTTCCTGGCCCTTTGAGTCTTTGTTTAAACTGCAATTTTCTATTTTAGAAAGGCTACAGAGGAAGTTTTTGTGGACTACCAGAGCAGCCAACTCCACTGTCTTCTTGCAGAAGACAATCGTGCTCATGGTCTTACTCATCAAACATCAAGCTTAAGCGGAAGGGGGACCAGCTACGTGACACCCACTTTTCTCAAATATCACAGAAATGTCAGGTCTGTTAAAATGAGTAGCACCTCTTAAAGGCGGAACCAGGCTTGTAGGAGAGATCTGAAATGGTACAGTTCTGCTAGTCTACATGAAAACAGAAGCCAGGATCCTGAGATACAGGGAAGCTGAGCTGAGCTGTGTTGAGTAGGACCAGGGAGGACACCCAGATCCCATTCTTCTCCAGGTTTGCCCAACACTGCTGCACTATGTTCGGGCCTTACCTTTACGGTGCATTGGTCTGTAGACCCAATCATCATCATCCACCTCCGGCTCGTCCTTCTGCTCAGCAGCTAGCTCGGTCTGGCTGCGAAAGAGGCGCCATGAAGCGCGGGACAGGACGGAGATGTTCAGCCAGCTTAGGGCCCGAGTCAGGGAGGTCGGTCGCTCCTTCAGGAAGGATTCAGAGCTCCTTTCCCTCCTCATTGTGCTTCAGAGAATTACCTTCGCGTAAAGAAATCCAAAGTCCAGCCCAGAATTCAGTTCATCCCAGTTCAGAAATCGGAACTCCAACTCTATATGCTCCACTGAGCAAAACACGGTTATTGTCTAGCACACTTCAGTCCGGGAGGTGCTCTGAAGCCAGAGTTTGTCTGTAAATCAGTCGTGGATTCCAGATTCAGCTGACCCACGAGTGACAGCGAGGACAGGCACTCCCAGAAACAGCACGACACACAGCACAGACTCCACGTAAAGGTCGCACCACCCCAGTCCGCGCCGCTGTCACTGTCTGCTGTGGGATCCAGAGGGATGAAGTTTCAGTGGAGCCCAGGTGACCGTTCAGCCTGTTCCGTGAGTCAACCTGGAAGCCGGAGCTAGACTTGGAGCGTCAGGACGGAGCTCCACACCGTGCCTCCACACCCAGTTGCCTCTCCCTCCTTCGGCAGTGACTTCCCCGTAATTGCCGTGTGTTTGCCTTCTATATTTACCCAGAAGCGAGGTAATAGCGTTGAGCACATGCAAATAACTGGAGCCCGAGGAAAAAACAGGATGACTGGGACCTCTTATCTCTTCCTTAGGCTGACAGGTAAGTCGCGTGTCGCGGTAAACGGTGACTCATCCCGCCACTGCCCCGGTGGGGCTCTGTTCCACACCGAGGGAAATCCCACAACAGACCTCGGGCTGCTGGCATCATGGATCCTCCCGGGAGCAGACTGTGAAAGGGCTTGGATTACAAACAGGCAAGCTTTGCACTGAAATTTGACCCCATCCTGCAGCCTCCTCCTCCTCCGCCTAGACCTACCGACCCCTCCCCCTGGCCACAAGCATGACAACCGCAGGTAGAATCTCCTCCCCTTGCCCCTCCCCTTCCTTCGGTCTCCAGGTGAGTGCCAGCTGATCTCTGTGACTTGCAGGGATCCTTATTCCTCAAAGAGCACTGCCCTTTGAGGAAGGTACAGCTCCACCCAACCCGGAAGTGTCATCGACATGCAAACTAGGCGCACTTCACCGGGAGGACAAGCAAACAAATCACTTGCAAGCAGAAGGCCAAAAGGGAGAGAGAGAGAGAGAGAGAGAGAGAGAACAGGTGACTCAGAGCTGGCACTTGTGTGATCACATGATCGCTTACTTGTCACCCCCGAGGGATCATATCGCTGCTCATGACTGACGAGGGAGCTTCTCCTCACCTGCAGCTCAGAATTATCTCCCGAAGGTGCAAAATCCAACAAGCACAGCCATGCCAGAGAGAGGCGGAGCACAGTCCGCATTCATTGGTTTGTTTGAAATTGAAACAGTGCACCGATGGAGGCTAGGGACGCCCTTCGGTTACAGCGCGGCAACCATATTAACAGACCCCAGGACAGGGGTGGGTGCAGCTGAAGTAACCTCTCCAGCCAAGAGCAGTGTAGGACCTGGTCAGCCGGAAGTCTGTGTTTCCAGATCAGCAATGTTGGGAGCTGCCTGTCAGAGAGGCTCCTGGCTTTAGAAAGTCTAATTAATAGTTTTTACAGATGTACTCTGAAGCATTAAAGCATGAAATCAGCTCAGAAATCTGCTGCTCCGGCTGTTTATATTTTCCTGGGGATTTCCGAGAATTTCTGAAGAATTAGCTGTGGGATTTATATCGCCGTGTGAACAGATCCACGCAGACAATCAGGAACCCTGCTGTATTCTTTGACATTGAAACCATTTTCAGGGGAACCCAATGAACCAGAACCTGACCAGTCCTCCATTAATAATTTTTCGGTCCTATGGTAATCAATGGCCTTACCGCATTAAAAGTAAATTCAATTACATGAACAGACACTGTAATTACTTTAAATCACCTGTTTAAGTACAAAACAGGCAGGTTTAATAAAATTCAAATCCTGTTAGCTTAGCCAGTTGGTTCTTTGATGTTGTGTTTACACAGGTGTCATGTAACTTTTACACTTGATTTGAAACAAAAAAGTATCACAAGATACCCCCCCCGCCCCCCACAAAATTCCGAGTGGGGTGACCTTCAGGATGCTGCCCCCAAAGACCAGCCGACCTGTCACTCAAATATAAATAAAGACTCGAATCCCATGCAAAGATGAGCATAAGTCTAAGGAGAGGGCGTTAGATTGGGCGGCCTCAGAGAGGGGTCCTCACTCTGCCTCGTGTAAGGAGAGGGCGTTAGATTGGGCGGCCTCAGAGAGGGGTCCTCACTCGTCCTCATGTAAGGAGAGGGCGTTAGATTGGGCCGCCTCAGAGAGGTTCCTCACTCGGCCTCATGTAAGGAGAGGGCGTAAGATTGGGCCGCCTCAGAGAGGGGTCCTCACTCTGACTCGTGTAAGGAGAGGGCGTTAGATTGGGCGGCCTCAGAGAGGGGTCCTCACTCTTCCTCGTGTAAGGAGAGGGCGTTAGATTGGGCGGCCTCAGAGAGGGGTCCTCACTCGTCCTCATGTAAGGAGAGGCTGATAGATTGGGCGGCCTCAGCGAGGGGTCCTCACTCTGCCTCGTGTAAGGGGAGGGTATTAGATTGGGCGGCCTCAGAGGGGGTCCTCACTCGGCCTCGTGTAAGGGGAGGGCGTTAGATTGGGC